TTAGTCGAACCTTTCGGTTTATTTGTATAGTTATAAATTGTCCACAATTATAAAAACGAGCCGCAAGGCTCTCGAATAATCGTGTCTCCTCTTCCCAAATTATCCATTTTAGTGGGCAATCCGAGCGTCAGTAAGGGAGACATTACTGTAATTTCAAGAATTTGAAGACACTGTTAATTTATTATTTTCAGATCGTTAAAATTATTCGGAAACGAATTAAATGCCTGTCCAGCTTCTGTATTGTGCAATTAGCGCGGATACATTTTCATGTTGCCGAAAAATCTGCGGTCTCGTTGTTGCAGTTGAATTAATTAATTTCATTGTTGTAAATTACATTCGGAAAATTAACGCGTGTCCGACAATGATAACGGCGGTCGCTGATTATTTTACGAAATATTATTATCGGAAAGAGAGGTTTCGAAATAATTCGTTGAATAGCTCCACCGTGTGGGCAAATTATCGGTGAGAAAAAAATAGCTCGCGATAAAACAGACGTTTCTGATTCGAATGGAGAAAGATCCAAGTCGATCGGATCGATAGTTTTCGAGAAAAAAATTCCCGAGTGCAGCAGCCTCGATCGAGTCGCGCGAAGAGCGAGATTGGAAAATTCAATTGTTCGTATTATTTGAACAAACTGGAATTCGTCGGGACGATGACATAAACCACCCCTAATTTTCCTCGGGCTACGCTGTAGATCATTTTATTTCGAATAAAATCGCTGACATCCGCGGTGACATTGATAAGCGCTGTCTCGGTCGTTCCTCGATAAAACCGGACAAAATTGCAAAATTCGAAAGGCTGTGTTTTTCAGAACGAACTGGAATTCGTCGAAGCGATGACACAAACCCCCCCTAATTTCCCATGAATTATGCCAGGGTAGATTGAATTCTGACCGAAATCCCTGAGAATTATGAGACAGCGACGTGTTCGGAATGACTAGAATTTTTGCAGTAATTTGTGCATCGTGTAACATTGTAGAACGGTCCCGCGTCACATTATCGTTAATTTGGAATGGCAGCCGTTGCAGTTGGCGGGGGGCAATCTCGCCGGCCCCGATGTTCATTTGCCGGGGCAAGTACAGTGACGCGGATTGACGGGATTTAGGGGAAGAAAAACTTGCATTACGAGGCCGGCTCGCGTCTCAGCTCTAACTTCTATCTATTGGCGGGATTCCCCGTTTAAGCCAAAATCAATAGGCGCGTGCTCCGATCTGATAAGTATCCTGAAGAGGGCCATTCTTCCCTTCTCCCCCTAACAAGGATCCACTTTCTTTCTATGTAGAGACGCGGCAGTGGCGGCGGCGGCGGCGACCCCCTGTGAACTTGAAACGCGCGAGCCGAAGTTGCTATCGGTCCCTTGTCACTCTGATTCACAGCCACGCAGCACCCACACCTCGACAGCGAAATGAAATTCCGACCACTCAACATTTCCAATAAAATATTTGCCCCGATTTTCAGAACCCGTTCGCCGTTCCTGTAAATCCTTTTATCCCTATGCGCAACGGTATAACGCGAATCGTTGCGTGCACCGCAATTCAAAATCGATAGTTCAAGTGATTTTCAACATCGCGCAACTTCGAAACGAACGATCGAGAAATAATCTACCCGGGCTCGTTGTACAGAGCAAACATCGTAGATTCGATCGCGCTGAGTTTTTCTCGCGGTGTTTTTAGCCGACGAGCTCGGTGGGAGTCTAAAGAACGACGGTGTTCTCGAAGGCTTTGTAAACCGAAATGTCCCTAGGAAGTTCGACGTGTTGTAACTCCGTGGAAAAAAATCGCGCGGCGATGTGCTTAGGCTCGTTTTGAAGCCTCGAGTCTCTACTTTCGACGACCATAAATTATTTTGCTTTTAGATTTTTATTACATTATATAGCGGGCGGGATAGAGGAAATGGTTCGTACCTTGTATCTTCTGCAACCCTCGAATGTGACTGGAGAATTCAATTTGTTGCAACTCCGCAGAAAAAAATCATGCGACGATGTGCTTAAGCTCGTTTTGAAGCCTCGAGTCTCTACTTTCGACGACCATAAATTATTTTGCTTTTAGATTTTTATTGCATTATATAGCGGGCGGGAAAGTGGAAATGGTTCGTACTTCGTATCTTCTGCAGCCCTCGAATGTGACTGGAGAATTCAATTTGTTGCAACTCCGCAGAAAAAAATCGTGCGACGATGTGCTTAGGCTCGTTTTGGAGCCTCAAGTTTCTACTTTCGACGACCATAAGTTATTTTGCTTTTAAATTTTTACTGCGTTATATAGCGGGCGGGATAGAGGAAATGGTTCGTACCATGTATCTTCTGCAACCCTCGAATGTGACTAGAGAATTCAATTTGTTGCAACTCCGTGGTAAAAAATCGTGCGACAAAGTTCTTAAGCTCGTTTTGAAGCTTGAAATCTCCACTTTCGACGAGCATAGGCCATTCTTCATTTCAATCGCTTGTGCACTAGCGATCTCCCACGAAAACGAACCATGTCCCCCTCTCAAACATCTGCCAAACCCAAATGCGTATAGGCAATTCACCCTATCGTAACTTCGCGAAAAAAAATCGTAGGTGAACGATCCTAGACTCATCTTAAAGCCCAAAGTTTCCACTTTCGATATCCGCGAGTGATTTTTTCGTAGATCGCTCGTGGTAATAAAAATATTCCTTCCAGCGGATCGAGAAGTCCACCGAGGTCCTTCGGTGGAGCCGGGACGTTGTTAATAAAATGTCAGTGAGTTAGGGGAGCCAAGAGACCAGGTCGTCGACGAACCCGAGGAAACGTCGGCCGAGCGTTTTAACCTTTCATCACGGTCGAACAATCGGAGGTCTGTTCGTTGTTCGAGCCGGTAACAAAAGTCTTCGAAATATCTGAGCGTAGCCTTTGGCGAGAATCTGTATTTACAGAAAAGATTCCACGGGCGGCGCGGTGGAGAGAACGAGTCGCTAGCACGTGATGCAACTTCCGCCGGCCGTACTTTGTCTTTCGCCAGCGTCGAGACAACCTTTGCGCCCCCGCCGCCCCCTCACCCCTTCCCTCTTTTCGCCCCCTTCGCGCCCATGGAATCCAGGGAATTTTCCGAGTTAGCGCGGAGCCACCGTGATCTGAAAATCCAGATAGATATTCGACCGGAAACCCCGTAGAAAACGCCGTGCAATTTCGGCGGCCGTAACCGCCCCTCGCGCGGCCGCCATCTTGTTCCCCATAAAACCGCTTTCTAGTTCGAAGAAAATTTCATCTTGGAAAAATCATTCTAATTGGTTTCTCGAGCTTACGGCCTCCGATTTCGCTGAAATCTCGCGACCCCACTGGCAAAATCGGTTCCTAGTTCGTCCTAGGGAATTCGCCATTTTTACCAGATTCCTCGCCGATTCACCGCGTCCTCGAGAATCGTCGATCGTCGATCATCGATCTCGAAACTTCGCGGCGACACGGCGCCCGTGGAATCACGTCGCGGAGATCTTTCCCCGCGATCCAAGATGGCGGCGGGAAAACAACCCTCGCCGCTCGGACGTTATCTCGAGAGGCGTCGCAAATAGAAGAGCCCGGCGAAACGATAAATCGTCGAATTTTTCGCTAACGAAGCCGCGCCGCTCGCCGAAAAGGAACGAATTTGCAAGGAAATCTCTGGCGGCGTCTAGGGAATTCGGTGGAAATAGTTTAGAGTTTCGCGCGGCATAGGTCGCGGGGGAAAAAATATCCCGTGGAATGATGAAATCCGGCTTCGGGATTAAAATCTTGCCGTTTTCTTCGTTGCCGTGAGAGCCCCGGGGAACGTTCCGGCGCCGGCGAGATTAGAGCGATCGTAAAATTTCTGGCATGAGAACGGCTCCCGAACAACCAGATTACGACTGCAGGACTCAAGAATTTCCCATTTATCGCCTTTCTTGCATGAACGCATAGAAGAATTCGATACGGGAATATGGGTGAATTGGGTATGCTGGTTTTCTCCTTTCTTTTCTTACTTTATCTCTCCGTCAGTCCCGCGGCGTGGCGCTAGACTCCCTCGTCTCCCGGCACCCACCCCTCCCCGCCCCTCCCGCGCCCCGCGCGGGCGGGCGGAATCTCCTTCTGCAGGAAGCTTGAATATGTAATCGACAGTAGCTGCTTATTCATGCATGTATATCGACGGAAAATCGCGTCCGCGCTGGAATGCGCTCACCCGGGGATTCGTTACCGATTTCCCACAGTGATTTTAACACTCGCATTAACGCCGGAACCTGCTGGAATTCCCTCTGTTCGGGGAAATCGCCGGATCGATAAACCTGCTGCGAAAATTGTCGGCGTTTAACTTTGCGGTATCTTCCGGATCGAAGATCGGGGAACGATCCCCGGCCGAGCTCGTTTTAAAGAGCGAGAAGTCTAGTTTCAGCGGTCCCGGAGTTCGATCTTTTTCTTTAACAGTCTCGCGTTCCCGGTGGAACGAGGAAACAGAGGAAACAAATCTTCCTTCACGAAGATTTTCTAAACTTAAAAGTCCCTAGGAAATTCGAGCTGCCGCAACTTCGCGGAGAATCGTCGTACGGCGACGTTCTTTAGCTCGTTTTGAAGCCTGAACTCTCTGCTTTCGCTGTGTTAAATTTTGTTCCTTTCGGACGCTCGTGTAGAAAATGGCGAGTCGAGAAGCGAAGGCGGCGGTGCTTCTTTCTAAAATTTGACGCGGCGAAAAACGGTTTCACGAAATTCGATAAGTTCAAGCTTTTGTTACGTGGCGGGAAAAAATCGTACAGCGACTTATCTTAGCTTGTTTTGAAGCCGAGAGCCTCTACTTTAACTATCGTTAAGGATTTGTTATATTCGGAAAGTTTTTCGCTATGTATCAGACGGGAAAGCCAGAGATGCGTCGTTCGTTTAACGACTTCGCGAAATCTGGCGAGTTCACGGAATTCAAGCCACCGTAACTACGTGCCAGAAAGTCGCGCAACAATGTTCTCCGGCACGTTTTAAAGCTCGAAGCTTCTACTTTCGTCGCCCGCCAGCCATTTTTATTCTAACGTTGTTTCAACTTATGTTCCAGGCCAAATAGCTCCGGATGTACTGCCAGAGTTTTTAGCCCCTTTAGAGAATCACACGGTGACCCAGGGACGCGACGTTTTTTTCACGTGCATCGTCAATCATCTGCAACCGTACAAGGTAACTACGATTGCGTAAAAGTCAATTTAACCGCGAACGGAAGAATTTCTAACGCGGGAAAGCACGACGCAATCTGAAATAAAGGAAATTCATCGAAATCTGGCTTGCGATCAGCCTTTCGCGTTTTTCCTGCGGAACGATTAAAAAAAGCCTTTCGGGTTTTCTGTTTCGCCTAATCGGTGTCAAATTTTCCGACAAAAAATAAGGCGAAACTTCTCGTTGGACCGTGCACAACGAGAATCGGAATTCGCTTTCAACGAAAACTAAACGCGATCGCGCCGGTTCGCGGCGGGTCAAACGGCAAAGAAAAAAATCCGCATTTTTTATTGCACGCGCGGTCCTCTCCCTCTAAGCGGGAATTTAATGAAAGTTTACCCGAGAAAACATTCAAAGGATCAAACGGGCGAATTTTCAATTCTGGTAAGCCCGCGGAGTTCAAGCGAATTCCGTTTGGCCTCTTATCGCCAGCTTTTCCGACTCTGGACAAAAAACGTTTCGAAAATGTCCCTAGATCGTTCGCTGGACTTTTGTCAAACATCGGAAACAACAAACGCGTGCGTAACTTCGCGAGAAAGGCCTTAGAAAATAAACATTCGACGAGCTTTCGAAGGATGAAAATTTATGAAAAAGAGAAATTAATTATATACGTAATTAAAGTAATCAATTCACCTGCATCGGACAATGATGCATTGTTAATTCGGGTCGAGAGTATGTCACTCGTCGTTATTATCTTCCTTTTTTATCTTACAAAATTGCACGGTATTTTATTTATAAGAATTTACAAGAAAAATTGCTCAAATTTTTCACTTTCGAATTCTAATTATACAAATTAATTTACATCGCAGTTTTTTTAGAGTAACGGGAACAACAATTTGGATTCGTTTTTCCGTTCGGCGAAGTTAAATAGTGTTTCATAAATATTCAGATTGATAATTGGACCGTTCCAAAGCGGCGAATTCAAAGAGCAAGTGGATTAATGGGATGACCGGTAAATTTTGAAACGTTTTCACAGGTGGCCTGGATAAAGTCCGATTCAAGAGCGATCCTGGCAATTCACAAGCAGCGGGTGGCGCACAACCCGCGTCTTTCAGTTACGCATAATGGGCACAACACGTGGAAGCTGCACGTGATGAACGTTCAAAAGAATGACTCGGGTGCCTATATGTGCCAGGTGAACACGGATCCCATGAGGAGCCAGGTAACATTTTCAATTTCCGCTGCATCTTACGATTCTCCGAATTCAAAATCGTAGAACCGACGATAATAAAAATTATTTCGAAGAAATTGCTACGTTGTGGATAAATAACACATTGCTGAAAAGTAGAGGGTATTACGACGAATAGAACATTGTAGAAAAATAACAAATTGTAGAAATGTAGAGCGTTGCAACAAATATAACTTTGTAGAAAAAAATAAAACACATTGTAGAAATGTAGAGCGTTGCAACAAATATAACTTTGTAGAAAAAAATAAAACACATTGTAGAAATGTAGAGCATTGCAACAGATAGAATATTGTAGTAAAAAAATAATGCATTATAAAAATGAAGAACATTGCAACAAATAGAACACTGTAGATTAAAATAACACATTGTAAAAATATAGAATATTGCAACAAATAAAACATTGTACATTATAGAACGATGTTTAAAATATTATCTTAAGCAGAATGGTGCCTTCATTGCAGCTAGAAGATTATTTTAAATAAAATTGTATATATCTACAATGTAGTAAAACGGTACATCGCGCAGAGAATAGAACATTGTGGAAACGTATCCCATTGTAGAAACGATTATTTGAAATAAAATAGTACGTTGTAGATATATAGCACATTGTGGAAACATAGCACGTTGCCTAAAAATTGCAAAGAAAATGGAACATTGTAGCACATTGGAGACAATTGAACCCTATAGAAATCAAAAATTGCAAAAAGATAGAACGTTACAAAAACTATTACTTAAAGCAAAATACCATCAGCATTTTACCATGAAAGGTACATTGTTGCAATGTGGTAATGTTTAACGTAGCAATATTGTAATAATTTATATAATATTAAATTGCATAATGTAATATATGTAATATAAAATAATAATAGAGTAATATATATAATATAAAATAATAGTATAATAATATATGTAATATAAAAAATAATATTATTGTATGTATATATAATATAAGATAATAATATAATAATATAAAAAATAATATTATTATATATAATATAAGATAATAATATAATAATATATATAATATATAATATAATAATAATATTATATATATAACATAAAAGCTACCGCGTTGCAGCAGGACTTTTTGGATTGCATGAATCGCGTTGACGGTGAATTATGCAACAAAATATACGTAGATAGCGCGAGGGTTGGAAAATTGGTTTCCTGGAAAATGGTCGGACAATAAGTAAGGCATAACGATTACCAAGATGGAACATCCTGGTCGAACGAAAGCAGGAGTTTAACAGGGCATCGTGGCCATACTATATCGAGGGTTGTGGTATCGCTAACAGGCATACTCATGCATTTATTGTGGCCGAAATAGCTGCGTCGCATTACATGCATTAGTCTACGAGGCCGTGCTCACAGCTCGCGCGGCATGTTGTTACCTGCGTGCCGTCAAACTAACCAATATTTTATACGGGAATAGTTCAAACGATAATCATTTGCACGATGGGCACCGCCCCCCACCCCCCACCCCACCACCCCGCCTGATTGCATTTCGAACTTCATTTAATTATACAATTAATTAGACGGATACTTCCGTTTAATTATTACCGTATCGGACACCAAAGGCTGTCCGCGTTTGTCCCTGGTGTGTACAAATGTGCGTAACATTTGCAATAAGTACTCGCAAACGCGCATAATGAAACGTTGAAATTGCCTTTAACAGAAAATAAATTCCGTTAGCGGTCTCGTAAAATAATCGCGTTCTTTCATCGACGATTTCCAAGCTGCTGTAACTTCGTGCAAAATGATCGTAGAACGATCCACTTGGGCTTATTTTGAAGAGCAAAGTTTACAGTCTCAGCGAGCCTAACTTTTTTCTTTTAACATCATTATATTAACAATTTGGCGAGGGAGTGAAGAATGTCCTTCTCCTGGGGCCTTTCTAAACTGAAATCTCCCTAGGAAGTTCGACTCCTTGTAACTTGGTGAAACAAAATCGTGCAACAACGTTCTCGGGCTCGTTCTAAAGCTCGAAGCTTTCACTTTCGTGTAACGTAACTTATCTTTTCATTTCGAACGTTCCCGCGCCAGAAATCTCGCCGGGAATGTGAAGAGCGTATCGCGTACACGAACTCGAATATTTCTGCGAAATATTCCGCAATTGGGACCACGGTAATTCCCGTAAAAAGAAATCGTATCTCCGCGTTCTTAGCGTCAACTTGAAGCTCGAAGTCTCCGCTTTCGACGGAGGTGAGTCGTTTTTCGAACGGGACGCGAGAAAGGCCGTGCAACGCGGGCAAATTAAATAGTAAAATTTCGTGAAAAGTTTGCGTTAAGAGAGCGGGCATGATCGTATCACCATAATCCAATCGTTGTCTTATCTCGGCTACGACGCATGGATCGTAACATGTTAACTGGATTCTCGAAACTTTAGTCCGTTAATTCTATACAAGCTAGGCGTGCATGTGCTTAGGTCCGCAAGCAGGATACCGTCCTTAATCCTGGTGTATTTGTGCGAGGTATTACATGACCGCGACCTTGCAATCCTAGAACCTTCAACACACGCTAATATATACGTATACGCGCGTATATGGAAGTATAATCTAAAGTTTAATCTGCTCTAAAACAAAATAACGTATCACGGAGAGCCGGTATTCGCGCGTTAGGATCTAACGATCGTGCGAGTTTCGCTATCAACGCGATCCTCTGTTCGCGCGAACCGCTTCGAAATGAATCACTGTACAGGGTGTCCCATCAATTATAGGACGTTATATATATCATATACATATATAACATTGTGACATTACGTATATAAATCCCTGAGGTCATTCGAAGCAACTTTTTCCTCAGCGAAAATGCGATCCGCGGCTTCGTTTACGAGTTATTAACGAAAAACACTGGTCAATGGGAGGCGAGCGCCTCGGCTGGCGCTGGGCGGAGGCTTCTGGCTGAGCTTCGACCGCTCGTTGGCTCGGCCGCCTAGCGCCAGCCGAGCTCGTCTCTCATTGGTCACTGCTTTTTGCTTAATAACTCGTAAACGAAGCCGCGGATCGCATTTTCGCTAAGGAAAAAGTTGCTCCAAATGACCTCGGGAATCACCTCCTTCCGGTTGTTAACATAATTATGGAACATCCGGTAGTTTTGCTCGTTCTATAGGGCGTGCCCTTTCACGTGACGGTCCTGGATTCGGTTCTTGACTTGCAGTTTTTGAGATACGTTCTTGCGAATTGGGGTTCGAGAAATTGGAATAAGCGCCCTCGGTCGATTAAACATTGTTTAAACGTTCATAACATTTATAAAATTTATTGCATTTTATTGAGGTGGATATGTAAAAAGCTTGTCCACAAGAAATCCTTGCGAGACTGTTACGATTTAAATATGAAAATCGTTCGAAGTCGAAAGTTCGATTGAAATTCACACTGAGAGTTCAAAAATGATTAAAAAATCTCTAAATATTTAAATTGTTGACAAAATTGGTACATGTCTGCTCAGAAGGACCTCTGGAATTATTATATACATTTATTTCGACTCTCGTTCGCAGCTTCTTCGCGCGCGGCCGAAAAATCGTAGAAAATCACGGTGTTCGCCGAAAATTTAGGACGACGTTGCAAAAATAAATTCGACGAACCTTCGAATTCTTGATAATTCGTACTCGCTGTTCTCGAGCGAACCCGTTCGGCCTGTCGTACGTCTGCCACGTCGACGAAAATCCCCGCGAAAAAAAAGGAAAACAGTTGTACAGTCTGTTGTCACCTGGCCGTGCAATTATCACCGCGAGATGTGACGTCACATTCGGTGTCTGTGCTCCGCGCTGTGCGCCCTGCACTGTGAAAACGTGCGCTGTACGCTGCACGCATTCAGGCCGGGGCGATGATAATTTTCCGCTCTGGAACGAAACGCTCGCAACCCTTTGCAGCTCCCTGGCAGCCGTAATGCAGTTTCTACGCAGTTACTCTACACAATTAATTGGGACGAAAGTACTCCGGGGCTCTTGCTACCCGGTGGGGTAAAAAAGGGACAATTACTTGTACGGGCCATCGAGTCTCCCGCCTTTAATTAATTCTCAATTTGATTTCAATTATTTAGCGACCCGGACGCTCGCCGAAAATCGAGGAACAAACCTGCGATTCTAATTGCGAGACACCGTCGCGGAAAAATCGTGGACGAAATTCGTTGATATCGTTGCAAACGGCAGGCTTCAGGCTGTCTATTCGCGGTGATTCGAGTCGCGAGAAAAATTCGTGGAACTTTTGCGAGACGTTCGAATATAGAATTTCAAAGAGAACAAACTCGTGACGGAACATTAATTTTTTCCGGCTGATAATTATCAGTTATGAGAAAACAACTTACGGATATCGAAAGTAGAGACTTCAGGCTTTAAAATGAGTCTAGGTACGTTGTTGTACGATTTTTTTTCACGAAATCACAGGAGGCTGAATTCCCTAGTCACGTTTCAAGCTGCAGGATGTTACGAGCTGTGCACCTTTTCTTCTTCTCTGTCCGCTACTTAGTAACAAACTGACCTAAAAATAAAACAACCTACGGTAGTCGAAAGTAGAGACTTCGTGCTTTAAAACGAGCTCAAGAACGTTGTTGGACGATTCGTTTTAACGGAGTTACGATGACAGGAACTTCCTAGGGACATTTCAGTTTACAAAAGCTTCAGGAAAAGAACGCTCTTTGCTTTCTCACCGAGTTGGTACTGTACGATATTTGACGCAAATAGATTAGGGTTGCTAAAACTGTAAGGTTTGCTCTTTGAAATGAGCCTAATTCGATCATTCTGCGATTTTTTTTCACGAAATTGGAGTGTGGTTCGAATTTGTAGAATCGTGTTCGAAGAAGCAGAGGACAAGAACTGAAATACAAAATTTGTTTGATGTATATTTTCCAGAAAGGGTACATGGAGGTGCTGATACCTCCGGATATAGTCGATGACGAGTCTGCCAAAGGTATGATAACGTACGAAGGTGGCAATATAAAGTTGAAATGCGTTGCTACCGGCTCACCGCAACCGACAGTCACGTGGAAACGAGAGGATGGGCAGAAGATCGTTCTTAAAGAAGATGGACAGAAAAGAGGTGAGGTATCTCGAATCTTAACACAATTGTCCAATTAAAAAAGATATTTTTATCGTAAATTGAATTTTGTCGATTGAAAGAAAAACCGTTTTCACTTTTTAAAATAAAAATTCCTGAACGCGATCTATTTCCGTGACAATTTATAATTGCCACTGTGAAACTATTTTTATAATTTAAGATGTTGCAAATATAATTATTCCATTAAGAAAAATATTTTTACTGTAAATTGAACGTTGCTGATTCGAATAAAAAAGGAGCCGTTTCGATCGAGCACGTAGTTTTCGAAAGAAAAATTCCTGAACACGATCAATTTTCGTAACAATTTGAAATTGGTACTGTGAAACTATTCAATATAATTTAAAATGTTGCAAATATAATTTTTCCATTAAGAAAAATAGTTTTACTGTAAATTCAACCTTGCTGATTCGAATAAAAAAGAAGCCGTTTCGATCGAGCACGTAGTTTTCGAAAGAAAAATTCCTGAACACGATCAATTTCCGTAACAATTTGAAATTGCCGCTGTGAAACTATTTTTATAATTTAAAATGTTGCAAATATAATTTTTCCATTAAGAAAACTATTTTTACTGTAAATCGAACCTTGCTGATTCGAATAAAAAAGGCGTCGTTTCGATCGGGCGTCCAATTTCTGAAATAAAAATATAAGAAGATGCTCTGTGTTCAAAAAATGCGATTTCCGATTTTTAATTAAGAAACGTTCTCGAATATGGTTTTCCTTCGTTCGATGATAATCCGCGTAGTGGCAGCGTCGAAAAATGATTCGATTCGAGGGGTAGAAAGTCTGAAAAGAGAAACATTATCTGAAAGTTTGATGGCGGAACGGGCTGATCGAGTTAAGAAAGGATTCGCCGGGCTTAACGGTGTGAATAGAGATGTCTGTTGGAACAAATCACAAGGTAAAGCGAGGGAATTGCTCGGGAGAGCTGGTAAACCTTCTCTCTAACCCGCGATATTCCTTCCGCGTCGTTGAACGGATTAAACGGAGTTAATTAAAATCATAAGCCATAAAATACCAGCTCGCTCCGCAGACGCGATTCGCGTTTCATCGATAGGCAAACTTTGCCAATTTTTTCGCGGGTAATCGGTGAACGAAAAAATTCGCATTTTCCCAGGGAACATAGAGGAGTCGTTCGGCTTTCTATATCAATTTTTTGAAAGCGGGTACGCTAGAAAATGGCGGAGTTATTTGATATTTTCGAGGCCCCGTTTTATCGGATATCGTATGTTGTCGTAGAAAAATCGATTTTGAACGATCGCGCGAACAATAATCGGTCCGCTATGTTACGAGTAAATTCGATGAAAATACTTTTCACGGGGAGAATATTTTTCCACGCTGCGCAAGATATCGCGTCAATGCGGGATAATCGATTGTCTCGCTGGTCATCGTCGTTAATTAATTACCTTGTGGACAGGGATTTACATTTCGTTGTAAATGCGTGTGGGTGGAACGTTTTACAGCGGCATTTATTGCCGGATAGGTGGACACCGTATGGGTCTGCGCAGGGCGATCCGAAAATCGCGGTACAGAATTTATTAACGCAACTGAAAAGTCGCGCAAGTAGAAAGTAGAAAGAAAACTCGAGAGAAAAAGGGGCCGAAGGAAGAGTTCATTTTCCCGCCTGCTAACTGCTGGACAAAATTTATTTATGATAAATGCTTACGGATGTTCAAACTAGAGACTTCACTCTTCAAAATCAGCCTAGGTAGATCGACGTGCAATTTTTTTTCACAAAGTTACAGCAGCTCAAACTTCCTATGAACATTTAAGGTTGCAAAATATTCGAGACAAGAACGATCCTCTCTTTCCTGTGCCTCTCCTATAGAAAAAAATTTATCTCGATGAAACGACTAGGGTAACTAAAATTAGAGACTTTATTCTTCAAAATCAGCCCAAGTAGATCGACGTACAATTTTTTTTCACAAAGTTACAGCAGCTCAAACTTCCTAGGAACATATAAGGTTGCAAAATATTCCAGACGAGGGTGATCTACTCTTCCTCGTGCCTCTTCTATAAAAAAAAATTTATCTCGATAAAACGACTAAGGGATCTGAAATTAGAGACTTCACGCTTCAAAACGAGCCTGGTCAGATCGTCGTCCGATTATTTTTCACCAAGTTACAGCAGCACAAACTTCCTAGGAACATATAAGGTTGCAAAATATTCCAGACGAGGGTGATCTACTCTTCCTCGTGCCTCTTCTATAAAAAAAAATTTATCTCGATAAAACGACTAAGGGATCTGAAATTAGAGACTTCACGCTTCAAAACGAGCCTGGTCAGATCGTCGTCCGATTATTTTTCACCAAGTTACAGCAGCACAAACTTCCTAGGAACATATAAGGTTGCAAAATATTCCAGACGAGGGTGATCTACTCTTCCTCGTGCCTCTTCTATAAAAAAAAATTTATCTCGATAAAACGACTAGGGGATCTGAAATTAGAGACTTCACGTTTCAAAACGAGCCTGGTCATATCGTCGTCCGATTATTTTTCAGAAAGTTACGACAGGCTAAAGATCCTAGGGACATTTCAGGTTGCAGAAGAGTGTGAAACAGGATCCGGCCGTGAACGAGAACGAAAATGGTGAAATTTGTCTTTCTTCCAGAGGTGTCAATGTACGAGGGTGAAGTTCTGGAACTGACCGGCGTTCTGAGACAGGAGATGGGCACGTATCTTTGCATAGCCAGCAACAATGTGCGTCCGACGGTCAGCAAACGTTATTCCGTCGTCGTCCACTGTACGTATTACTTGTCACGTCTCTACATATCCCGCCGTATAACCGGCCGCTATAGCTGCTAATTGGCAGAATTCATGCCCGGAATCTAAAATCATAATTCAAGCAATTCAGCCGACTGTACAAATAATTTTCGCATGCAAATTTCCTTACACGTTGATTTTCCTGCTGGCGAATTTCCTTTCTCGCTGATTTTCTTGCGCGTGCGATTTTCTTTATTTCGCGCGCAAAAGCGCGCCCGTTTGGCCCGCGGGAAATGTTTCAGTTCGTTCAAGCAGAAGCGAAGGCAACGCCTAATTATTTAATATCGCGCCGATTCGCCGCGTGAATTGTTGATAAAATATATTCGCGCCGTGTTAATTGAATTTTTGGAGTGGATTCAATGCGCGCACACAGGCGCCGGGAAACAAGTCAACAGTCGAAATTGGGACAAGAAATGTTAATCGTGCCCTCTGTCTTCCTATTCATACTAATTAAACGGCCGTTTGTGTCCCGTGTGTACGGCCGCTTTAATTGCAAACCGACAATATCCGCAAAGTAGCCATGAAACAGGTCATTAAATAACGGAGGGGGGGAGGTTTATTTAACCCATCGGGGAGCAATGATCGAAATGATGGAATTACGTTTTTCAGGGACAGTCTATTTAACCTCCGACTAATTGTTAGCCGTTAGGCTGAACAGACTATAGCCGTTTCGCGAATACTTACGAGGTGCAATAGAAAATATCGATTGGCAGAGCAACGAAAATTAATGGAAACGGTATCGTTAATATTTTCTAAATTATAATTCAGTAAACGTTGCGATTGTACTTGTAAAATTATCGTCGTTCGCGCGAAATTAAAATAGAAAGTTCGTGTTAAACGTAACTTCAATTATTGTAGATATAAAATTTTTATTTGGTTAAAGTTGTCATTTTTTTACTCACGATCGAAGAGCAAACGTTGCTTTTTCCAATTCTCTCGCGCAATTCGTAATAAAATTGAAGCGGAACGTCTTTAAATTAAATGAATAAATGATTAATTAATAAATAAATTAAATAAATAAATTGTTAGTTAAATTAAATTAAATAAGTTCATCGTATTTCACGTATTCGAGCGGAATTGCCGTATTCAATGAAAAATATCGAAATTTGAGGAATCCAAAATTAGTGTAAAAATCGTCTCTTTTAATTTACGATGGAATCGAAGCGAGAACAATTTTTATAGAAATTGTTCGTTGAACAATTTAAAAGTGAGAAGCACTGATAATAAAGAATTTCGGAATAGAGTAATTTCTCCCGGAAATTTCGGGACCCTGTGCTGGTCCTACGCCATTGTCAAGGCTATTTATTATTATTTTTATTCATTATATTTATTATATTTATTATATTTATCAAGCGTGTAATGCGGCACGCAACGCGAATTCCCGGAAGACAATACAAAATGGTCTGTCTTCGAATCGTATCACGTGGCCTCTGAATTGCCTTCGAATCGTGTCAAGTGGCCTCCGAATTGCCTTCGAATCGTGTCAAGTAGCCACCGAATTGCCTTCGAATCGTGTCAAGTAGCCTCCGAATTGCCTTCGAATCGTGTCAAGTAGCCTCCGAATTGTCTTCGAATCGTGTCAAGTAGCCTCCGAACTGTCTTCGAATCATGTCAAGTAGCCTCCGAATTGCCTTCGAATCGTGTCAAGTGGCCTCCGAATTGCCTTCGAATCGTGTCAAGTAGCCTCCGAATTGCCTTCGAATCGTGTCAAGTAGCCTCCGAATTGTCTTCGAATCGTGGTAAAAAATTATAAACAAAAAAGTTAACTGCCAGGAATTCGAATTAAAATCGACAATTCGTCAAAATTAATTTTCCGCAGCGTCGACCTCGGTCGCTTCAAACCGCCATAAAGAAGAAAGAAAAAATCGCAGATCGAAAACTTTGACGTCGTTCGAAAGAACAGACTCTAATCTTGAAGATCGTGATAATCGGAACCGCGAGAAAAATTTTACAGACCCTGAAGAGACGTTCGAACACAGAGCTTCCAAGAAGGAAAAAGCGAAGGAGAAAAATTCACTTTCGCTAATGGAAAAAATATTTTTCATTGAAAATGATTCAGGGAGATTATAGTAGAGGCTTTTTCGAATCGATCTATAGACTATGTAGATTATTGTACAATTATTTTTGGTCCAAGTTTCTATAAAAAAAAACGAGGCCCGAAGAATCGCGTTTTAGTATTCTCGGATCTGCCGGTTTCGATTCCGACCTCCGAACATTTCTCGGAGAAATTGCTGTAGTTGCTGGGCTCGAAACAAAATTCCGGCGGAAGTCTAGGGAAATTCGAGGAAGGCGTGGAACGATTCAAGTGCTTACGGTTTCACGGTAAGCCGTCTATACGTGGAACATGCAGGTGTGCAGCGCGGGCCGCGCCGCGCGCAGTTCCTTACTTTGCGAAAGTCGGCCCCGCAATCCTCTCAGTCAGATCCATTCGAAGTCTGCCGTTTCCCGTAAAGTTACGATACGTCGATTGGTATTAAGCAGAGCGAAGACACCCTGGATATAGGAACTCTTAATTAGAACTTCGTCGACTTGCATCGATATTAAAATCGAAATTAAATTCGCAATTGAAATCGAAAATATCTCAGAATTCATTTTCCGCAGCGTCGACCACGGTCGCTTCGGACCGCGATAAAGAGGAAAGAAAAAAATCGTGGATCGAAAACTTTGACGTCGTTCGAAAGAGGAGACTCTAATCTTGAAGATCGTGGTAGTCGGAATCGCGGGAGAAATTTTTCAGGCCCTAGAGAGACGTTCGAATGCAGAGTTTCCAGAGAAAGCAGAAGAAGAAACTGGTGGCGAAAAATTCACTTTCGCTAATGAACAAATATCTTTCATTGGAAATCATTTCGGGTAGATTATAGAGGAGGCTTTTCTGAATCGATCTAGCCGGGGTAGATTATCGTACGGTCATTTTTACCGAAGATACAACGATTGAAATGTAGAGAACGTTGCACTCGAGATATGACACGTGGTAAAAATTGTTTATCCCGGATATGATACGCTCGATTGATTATTGTCTGAACATTTTTCATAATTTCCGAAGATGGTAGAACATCGGATAAGGGCGGTGGTACGAACGAGAATCGGACCGTTCGATAATGGCGTGCGGTATATCCGTTGTTCGGGGAATCAAATGGCACTGGTAAAGTAATTGTAGCACACACAGCGTACAGGTCGGTCCCCTAATCCTGGAATCATAGTACAGCATCGAACACCCCCGTGTTTACGTTGCTTTAATTACGCACTCGCTGTCGCTCTCGCTTTCTAGTTCCCCGTTGCAACATCACGGGCGCCCTGCCTGAAAACATCAAGTCATTCCACGTAAATAACTTGCAACGCACTAAATCCCTCGAACCGGGCACAAATACCCCAGGACAATCTCGACAGCCCTGTCGAGAGCGAAACCGAAGTATATTTATTTACTTATTTATTTATTTATTTAACGGGCGGACCGTCGAGCACCATCGTGCAATATAAATGCGTGAGAAAATAACCATCGATCGACGATAAAATGTCAGCTACAGAATATCTTTGGGAAATCTAACGAAATGATAATCTTGTATTTCGCGAATAAATAATATAATATAATATAATATAGTATAATATAATATCAAATCATATAATATAATATTATATGATATAATATAACATAATATAATATAATATAATATCATATTATATTATGTTATATTATATCATACTATATCATATAATATAATATAATACAATATTATATGACATAACATAAAATAATGTAATATTATATTATATTATATTATATTATATTATATTATATCTGTCTCTTATACACATCTAGATGTGTATAAGAGACAGATATAAGATATATCATATTATATTATATTATATGATATAGTATGATATAATATAACATAATATAATATCATACAATATAATATTATATGATATAACAGAAGATTATATTATAATATAAGATATATCATATTATATTATATTATATGATATAGTATGATATAATATAACATAATATAATATCATACAATATAATATTATATGATATAACAGAAGATTATATTATAATATAAGATATATCATATTATATTATATTATATGATATAGTATGATATAATATAACATAATATAATATCATACAATATAATATTATATGATATAACAGAAGATTATATTATAATATAAGATATATCATATTATATTATATTATATGATATAGTATGATATAATATAACATAATATAATATCATACAATATAATATTATATGATATAACAGAAGATTATATTATAATATAAGATATATCATATTATATTATATTATATGATATAGTATGATATAATATAACATAATATAATATCATACAATATAATATTATATGATATAACAGAAGATTATATTATAATATAAGATATATCATATTATATTATATTATATGATATAGTATGATATAATATAACATAATATAATATCATACAATATAATATTATATGATATAACAGAAGATTATATTATAATATAAGATATATCATATTATATTATATTATAATATAATCTTCTGTTATATCATATAATATTATATTGTATGATATTATATTATGTTATATTATATCATATAATATAATATCATATGATACAATGTGATATAATATAACATAATATAATATAATATAATACAATATTATATGACATAACATAAGATAATGTAATATTATATTATATTATATTATATTATATTATATGATATAATATAAGATAATATAATATTATACAATATGATATAATATAAAATAATATAATATAATATTATACAATATGATATAATATAAAATAATATAATATAATATTATACAATATGATATAATATAAAATAATATAATATAATATTATACAATATGATATAATNCGTAACATAAGAATAAATAATATGATAATAAAATCGCAGAGAGTTAATAGACTTTCGAGATGTAGTCGATGCACAGTGTCGAACATATTCGCGAACTGTTTCGCGTAAAAAAGTCGCAACGCATTGCTCCGCGCTGAAATTATAGACGCGAACGGCGTGCAGCGTGTTTAGTAGCGTTAAGGGAGCGTGCAACTATTAATTATGTTTTCATTGCGTTCAATATTAACCGTTAGATAAATTACTATGAAATTACCTTTTCAAGTCGGCGATTTATCCACGTCGTCGCCGACAGGTAAATATTTGATCGGGCCAGGCAGGCAGGCAAGGCAGGCAGGCAGAGCGCCGCGGTAATTCACCTACTCGGAGAACCTTCTGTTTTAACCATGATACAGCTCTTCTTATTTCATAGCGCTATACCGATTTATACGGACCGTCTCGGCTTGTGTCAACCGGGCTCTCTCTCTCTCTCTCCGGGACCCTTCGCTGAATCCTGATTTTATGATGTTTGCAAACGGCCCCACATTTTGCAACCACTCGAAACATCAAAATCCGTGCCGATAGAAAATATTTACGTTTCACGAGCAATCGGGCATTCTACAGCGAACTTTTTGGTCTTGTTTCAAAGGGGACGCTTTATTCTTGATGTTCGTGGTAGATTGACCGTGAAGGGGACAGGTTTTTACAATCTATACAAAGGTTTGACTTTGGAAAACTTTAGCGAGAGAGAAACAATTGGTGATAAGTTACTTTTCTAATTTATAGCAAAGTGTAAAAGCATCGTGGGACAAAATTGTCTGGAGATGTTAAAAGTTCAAATTTCCCTCTTCAAAATGAGCCTAAGTTGATGATTGTACGATTTTTTTTCACGAAGCGGTAGATGGTTAAACTTCGTAGAGACATATGAGGTTGTAGACTATTTGAGAGGACAAGCATCTCTCTCTTCTAGCTCGTGTCCTGGCACCAAAAAATTTTTTAAATGGAAACCCTTAGGACCGTTTAAACTACATACTTCGCCCTTTAAAATAAGCCTGATTACACTGTTCTACGATTTTTTTTCACGAAGGGGCAGTCGGTTGAATTTCCTATGGACATATGAGGTTGTAGGCTATTTGAGAGCCATCTCTCTCTTCTAGCTCGTGTCCTGGCACCAAAGAATTTTTTTAAGTGAAACCCTTAGGACCATTTAAACTAGATACTTCGCCCTTTAAAATGAGCCTAATTACACTGTTCTACGATTTTTTTTCACGAAGGTGCAGTCAGTTGAATTTCCTAGGAACATATGAGGTTGTAGGCTATTTGAGAGCCATCTCTCTCTTCTAGCTCGTGTCCTGGCACCAAAGAATTTTTTTAAGTGAAACCCTTAGGACCATTTAAACTAGATACTTCGCCCTTTAAAATGAGCCTAATTACACTGTTCTACGATTTTTTTTCACGAAGGTGCAGTCGGTTGAACTTCCTAGAAACATATGAGGTTGTAGACTATTTGAGAGGAGAAGCATCTCTCTCTTCTAGCTCGTGTTCTGGCACCAAAAAATTTTTTAAATGGAAACCCTTAGGCCTGTTCAAACTAGATACTTCGCCCTTTAAAATGAGCCTAATTACACTGTTCTACGATTTTTTTTTCACGAAGGTGCAGTCGGTTGAATTTCCTAGGAACATACGAGGTTGTAGGCTATTTGAGAGCCATCTCTCTCTTCTAGCTCGTGTTCTGGCACCAAAAAATTTTTTAAATGGAAACCCTTAGGCCTGTTCAAACTAGATACTTCGCCCTTTAAAATGAGCCTAATTACACTGTTCTACGATTTTTTTTTCACGAAGGTGCAGTCGGTTGAATTTCCTAGGAACATACGAGGTTGTAGGCTATTTGAGAGCCATCTCTCTCTTCTAGCTCGTGTCCTGGCACCAAAGAATTTTTTAAATGGAAACCCTTAGGACCATTTAAACTAGATACGTCGCCCTTTAAAATGAGCCTAATTACACTGTTCTACGATTTTTTTTCACGAAGGTGCAGTCGGTTGAACTTCCTAGGAACATACGAGGTTGTAGGCTATTTGAGAGCCATCTCTCTCTTCTAGCTCGTGTCCTGGCACCAAAGAATTTTTTAAATGGAAACCCTTAGGACCATTTAAACTAGATACGTCGCCCTTTAAAATGAGCCTAATTACACTGTTCTACGATTTTTTTTCACGAAGGTGCAGTCGGTTGAACTTCCTAGAAACATATGAGGTTGTAGGCTATTTGAGAGGACAATCATCTCTCTCTTCTAGCTCGTGTCCTAGCACCAAAAAATTTTTTACACAGAAACCCTTAGGCCTGTTCAAACTACATACTTCGCCCTTTAAAATAAGCCTGATTACACTGCTCTACGATTTTTTTTCACGAAGTTCCAACAGATTGAACACCCTAGGGACTTATAAGCTTGCTTATGGTCCCTTTCCCAATGCTAGAAAAATCTAAAAACAGTTTAGGGGAGTTCGGTTTCGCGTTTAAAAATGAGCCAAGATCTAAATAAATCAACGAACCGTATTTTCAACGAGTTAACCATCAACGATCCTTTGGTTCCAGTTCCGCCGGTTATTAAAGTGGTGAACGAGTTACTATTAGCGCCGATCGGCAGCAACGTCGTTCTACGGTGTCGCGTAGAAGCCTCACCGCTAGCCATGAACACATGGTACAGAAATCCAGGTAACAAACCGCTCTAAACAAATATGTAGCTCCTTTATAATCGCAACAATTGCCCGAGATATTCGAATATGCATTTGTACGTTTAATAATAAATCGCTGGAGATGTTGCGCGCGCGCGCGCGCGTCGATTTTTGATTTTGAAACGTCCGATCGGTCGGACTAGCGGTGTGTGTCTTCTCGGAACGGTATTTCGGTCAGTTTTTGCGACAACAGCGTTCCGTCAAAATGAACGACGCGGCTGAAAACT